TTTAAAATAAAACCTATTTCTATAACTCTAATCCGAACATTTTCATAATAAAATCTGTCTGCTTGGTTTAAAAAAAAGAAAGATATCCTGTGGAATGTGGCCAATAAATTATTCCCACAGGTTGAAGACGATCCTCTCTGTGTGCAGATTAAAAAAACATGATGGTTGTTTTTTTTTAAAAAAATAAACTTTTTAAGTCATTTATTCAATGGCTCTTGCCATTTGATACGCCCTTCTTCATTTCCCCTTCTCCAGATTCCTGATCTTAACCAATGAAGCATGTAAGTGTGGGTTTCTATTTTTATTCTGCTCTGTGCTTTGACTCTGAAGTAGCTCCTCTGAATCTTTGGTCAGTACTTAAATTGTCCAAGACAAAGCAAGCAATGGATGGAAACTAATCAAGGGGAGAAGCAACCCAGAATTAAGGAGAAACTTCCTAACAGGGAGGACAATTCATCAGTGCAACTGCTTGCCTTCAGAAATTCAGGTTTTTAAGAAGAGACTGGACAGTTATTTGTCTGAAATGGTAGAAGGGTTTGTGCTCGAGCATTGGGTAGGACTAGCAGACCTCCAAGGTCCCTTCCAACTCTCCCTTATTCTGTTAAAGAAAAGTCATCCCTGCTGATGGGAGAGCGAAGCAGGCCTCCAAAAGGAATCTCTCAAACCCCTATTTTCCTTTGGGGCTTGTTTGTTCCGTTTCCATAGCAGATGGGAGAGGTGGCTGCTGATAATTCCCCTCGGACTTGAGGTGGAACTAATGAAGGAAAGAGTTGTGGGAGCCGGAGAGCAGGATCACAATTCGGCTTTCGATGTGATTTTAAATGTTATCCACCCCCAAGAGTCTCGCTCCTGGCCCAGTAGTGCCTGGAAGGAAAAAATATTTGGCACCCTGATACAAGGAAAGGATGACCAAACTGCAATAAACAACTTTAATAGTTAAATCTCTTGGCATGTTTGAGACTCATTAACTCTATAGTCTGCCTTCTGAAATTCTAATGGGCGTCCTTCCCTTTTGTTTCTGCAAGTGGAAAAATTGAAAGCGCTCTTTTTGTCTGATTAGCCATGGAAAGAAAGCAGAACTACTTCCGCACTCTCATTTCATACGAAGTCATTGCTAGATTTGCAGGGTATATTTTACCCATTGCTACCTTGGAAGCCTAGATCAGGGGTGTCCATCCTTGTTGACTTTTAAGACTAGTGGACTTGCAACTCCCAGAATTCCCTAGCCAGCACTGGGGAATTCTGGGAGTTGCAAGTCTACAAGTCTTAAATTTTGCTGAGNGCAAAGTTCAGCCATAACTTACATGAGATCAGATCTAACTTTGCTTGGGTATTGCCGAAAGGTTGTTCCTAATAAATGACTGGATTTCTTTTGAAACTTGGCTCGAGGTTGTTGAATTAATTAGGGCATCTTTCGGAAACCTGACAAGTGTTTTTTTGTGTCTCGCTCTAGGAGAAAGAAGGACGAGGCCTGGACCTTAGTGCTGGGTTGGTGGTCACCTCTTTAAACAAGCCCTCCCGGTCACCCCCCCAGAACAGCCTGTGGCATTAGTGTTGGGCTCCAGAGGAGGCCTGTTGGGGTGCCTCCAACACGAAAGAGAGGAATGAGGGAACTCAGAAAGCTTGATCTTCTCTTCCGTTCCTTGTACGGATGGGTCCACCACCACCACCATCTCCATCAGAGGACTGGGACTCCTGTGGTTCCCACCCAACTGGATTTTACATTGCAGAGATCAACCTGCAACCGTTTCTCTGAGGACATCCTAAACTCCTCTTTTTTTTTTCTTTTGGTGGGGACAGTGGTCATGAAAGACTAGTGTCGGGTGTGAGGGGGCCGTCTCTATAGTCCCCCCCCCCCGAGTTTCACAATTGCAGGACTGCTGGCAAATTGTCTTTTTGTGTGGGCTGTGAATGAAACCCGTTGGCTTAACAGGTAATATGTGCGTTTGGGTGCTTTCTCTCGGTGTTCGATACAAATGTTGTTTTTTTTTGTATATGTAGCATGAAAATGTTCTCCACAGATGGTGAACTTGAGTCCTTCTCCACTCAACAGACCTTTTTCTCTCCGCTTTGAGGGCTTCCCCCCTTTCATCCTCAGAGGCCGTGATATTTTTCAAATGTACATTTCATCCATTCTAGGAAAACTACCACGCAGTGTCCATGCTATGATTCGTAGCTTGTAATCTAAGGATACAGCCATGTCCTACAAGGAACCTAGGTCTTGTGACTTCCTGAGAACATTTCTGGTTCCTTCAGTCGAATTCTTGTTCGCAAAATCTTGCCACCCTCCATATGGAGCCAAATCAAGTGCCAGTGGTGTGAATTGTCCGCCCACAGCTGCTGTACCTCCTTCTCCAAGTTCTTTTTTTACCCCTGCTTAAGTTTGTCTTCCACCTGCTGGGAAGAAGGGACCAGTTATAGCTATCTTGAGTGCCATCCAGCAGGAGGACCAGCCATTGTCAGTAGGCAGCAGTTCTTTACGCTCTCCCTTGGCAGGAGCCTGGGTATATTCACCTGCGGCCCCTGGATGGGGCAGAGATGTTTTCTAGGTGCCGCTTGGGTAGGGAAGATCATCAGGAACCCCCTGCAGACAATATTCTAAGACTGGAGAGACTGAAAAAGAACATAAGTGTTTCTAATAAGCAATTGCAATATTTACAGTTGACGCAGTGTTTCCATTGTAAATTTTCATTTCTCTAACGTTCTCAGCCTGGACGGCGGCATTTTTGAGATCTTTATCCGGAAGCCCATTCCTACTTTGCGAAAGAGATTTATTCTAACTTTTCAGCCATTCTTGCAGGTTTCCTGCTCACAGAATGGAAAAGGGTATGGGGCATTACCGAGATTTGAATGGTCTAGTCAAGCATGCTGGAAATATTTATTCAGTATTTACCTTGGCGCCGTTTTGCTTTTCTTTTCTTTTTCTCAAAAGCCCAGTCTCTTCCCATCCGTAACAGCCGGTCCTTTGGCTAGCAAGGATAAGACTGCGGGATCCTATCCGGAATTTCTCTCTCTTTTTTTTCCATTTTGCCATCATTGCCAACTTAATTTGGAAGGCACTAGGTTTCGGCATCCTAGGGGCCAGAGCTACATGGAGAAGCGCAATAAGGAAAATGTTTGTTTTCCGTAGTTGAAATGGTATTTCAGTTGTTATTAGATTGGGGGGGGGGGGTCTCCAATTTTGGCAACTTTAAGCTTGGCAGACTTCAACTCCCAGAATTTCCCGCCAAGCCTAAAGTGGCCAAAATTGGAGAGCCCGGCTTAGATACTTTTGGATAACAGATGGGCTAGAATTAAAAGTCAACACAACCAGGGACATCAGGTCCAAAAGGATGAATGAAGTGTGCCGGATTCACAGCGCTATAGGCTACCTGTGGGGTGGTTGTGTTTTTTTTTTTTTTTTAAGATACTCCCTGTAATACGGAATAGTCTTGGTGAGCCCTTGGAGCATTGCATCGAAAATGTTATGGAGAAAACCTCCACCTTCCAGAATCTGGGGGGGGGGGGGGGGGTAGAAGCCATGGTGGGATGTGAATACTCCTCTTGTATTTGCTTCGTGCTTTGCTTCGTGCTAATAATAAAATCTGTCTGCTTGGTTTAAAAAAAAGAAAGATATCCTGTGGAATGTGGCCAATAAATTNTTCATCATCTCTTCTGTAATAAGTGTTGTGGCCCACCAGTGGCTAGCGGATCTGGCAGCAGATTCAGATAGTGGGGAGGTTGGGGAGGAACATGGGCCAGTCCTGGAGTCTGGGGAAATCTCTGATGAGGGCTCTGGGTCAGAGGCAGAGAGGGGGCCAGGGCCATCTGACAATTATCAGCTGCCTTCAGAGTCAGATATTGATGAGGCGGAAGAACAGCTGGAGCCTGTTCCCAGTCTGTGCATTCACAGAGTTGCCAGATGAAGGAAAGAGCTAAGGAACAGGGGGTTGACTTGGGAGTAAGGCCACAGGTGGACAATGAATGGCTCCTCCCAGAGGAAATAAAAGAGGAGCAAAAGGGGAGTGGAGTTTGCAGGAGAAAATTAGTTCACTTAATTGGCTCATGACTCTCTGAGACTCCTTGCCAAGTTTTGCAGATCTCGGCCTCCAAGCTCTCCAAGCCAGATAAGGTCTGTGACTGTAAATCCTCCCTTGAAAGACTTTGCTGGATGTGAATGACCAGAATGAGCAGAATTCACAATCAATTAATAAAAGGGTTTTTTTATCAGGACCAGGAGTTTGCTTCATGCTCTTGGGAAGCCTAGGTCAAAACAGATAATCAGAAAACTTCAACTTTAGTCTGCTTCAGTGGCATGCTTAAAATACCTCTTCCTGACTAATGTGCTAACTTCATTAGCATCTTGTTGTGACGGCCTCTTTTAAAGGTTTAATCAAGGTTTCTTTGAAGAAAAAAACAGGAAACCTTTTCATGTTGCTAGTATATCAATGCTTATTAACCGCCATGTTTATGCTTTTTTTTTTTTTTTGGCTGTAGACCCTTCTGAGAGTTATAGATAAATATGCAAAAACCTGATTAAAATTGATTAATTAACCACGGTGACATTGAACACTTCAGATCTGCAGCGTTTCATCCACTTGAGTGTTTCGCTCCACGAAAACAAGACAAGGCTTTTACAATCAAGGTGCAGTTGGTTGAAAAGGATCAGTTTAAAGATGCATCTAGCAACCCAGAGAAGAAAAGGGCACAGCCAGGGTATAATCTTCAGATCTGTACAAAGCCTGCGAGTGCAAAGAAAAGGACAAGTTTGTTTTTACCATCACAATCGTACAAAAAAAAAAGCATTTTTTCCCGTTATTGTTCTCCGATCATTTGAAACCTCTCTCTCGCCTGATTTCTGCCTCTTCTCCATTTTTTTCCCTACTTATTATTCTGTTTGCTTTTGCCAATGAATTGGCGGTCGGTCGGGTGGGGGGAGGCTCACAAATCTTTCTGCAATGCCTATACAACTCCCCAAACAAAACTTCACATTTTTTTTTATCCTGGCTTTATGTAAGTTTCTTTTTTCTCCTCCCAGAAACAGCAGCTTAAAGCATCTTTCATTAATTGAATCTCACCACAAAAGCGGGCAGAGAAGGGGAGAAGAGGAAACCGAATCTTTTTCCAATCTCAGAACTTGTCTGAACCTCCAGATTTATTAGAGCGAAGACGAGTTTATTGAATGCTACAGCTGTTCTTTGTATGATACTTTGTATTTGGGTGCTGGTAGGTATTTATAGCTAATTAGTGATGTTTACACACCATCAAACAGTAGAGGAAAGGAAAGCTAAACCTTATAGAGTTACAAGCTGCCAAAAACTCACAATAGAAGTGGCTTCAGTTCAAGAGTGCAGCATGGGACACCTATTATCCAACCTGTTAACTATTTCTGGATTTTTTCCCCTGTATAAATTAGGAGGAGAAAGACACAAAGAACTTCATCTGCTACATCTTGAGCAAAACCTGGATAATTTCATGGCATTTATTCCGCAGGAGGTTTGTCCTGGGAATCAAGCTGTGTTTAAATTAAGAGGAAGTCATATTTGACTTGCTAATGGCTAGCTGTTAAACTTTCAGGTTGATATTCTTTTTTGTTGTTGTTTTAATAAGTCCATAGACATTAGAACTAAAAATTGTAGGTCAGATATGGGTAGCTGCAGGGATGAAATCCAGCAGATTTTGACAGGTTCTGGTGAACCGGTAGCAGAACTTTTGAGTAGTTTGAAGAACTGGCAAATGCCACCTCTGGTTGGCACTGGTGCAAATTTTCTTTTTTGTTTCTTTTTTGCAATTGCAAGCTGCCTTGCAAGAAGCAGAACAATAAAATGTTTGGCATATAATTGTGGTCCAGAATCCTGACAGAATTGGGAAGCAAATTGTTTGTGTGTGTGTGTGTGTGTGTGTGTGTGTGTGTGTGTGTGTG